TAGCAAATTTATATATATATATATATATATATATATATATATATATATATATATATATATATATATATATATATATATATATATATATATATATATATATATATATATATATATATATATATATATATATATATATATATATATATATATATATATTACTTGATTTTTATAACATAATTTATGCGATACAGAGGATAAGTGTTAGAAGGAGAGGGCAATTGCTACCAAAAAGAGCGCCAACCTCCCCGCACGTTTGACCTCGAAATGCCGGGATTGATATTGGACAATCCTGGGATTTCGGGAATATAAAAAAAAAACAGCGGTATAATATCGATACAACGATTTTTTCGCTAAAACCACTGTTTCATTTGATCCTTTAGAATGTATTTATGTATACTATGTAAGGAGGCGTGAACTTCCTATTAAATGCTCTTCCGCGGTGCTCTGTAATAAGACCGTAAGGACTTCTTGGGGCACCTAAATCAACATAAAAAAAAAAAAAAAAAAAAAAAAAAAAAAATTTAAGCTAGTTTACTTATAATATATATGGAATGTGTTATAAATAAATTTTTTTAAATATATGTATATAAATAAAATTTTTTAAATATATGTATATAAATAAAATTTTGCAAAAAAAATCATGCTGCAACATAATTTTTTGTATTTTTTAATAATTTCTTTAACTTTATAAATAAAATTTTGACGTTTGAAATTGTTAGAGGGGGGAAGGAGGGGGTAATTACCCCTTACCTCCCTTTACCCATAGGTTTTGACATAGTTGTCACTTTTGAAATTGGGAGGAGGAAGGGGGAGTTTGAAACGCAAATTAAGGAGAGCTGAAGCAGTTGGAATCAAAATTTAAATGGATAAAACAGAAATTTCCAGAAATTTAGCCATATTTTTTTTCCTTATCAAATAAAAAACAAACCGCCATATATTGTCACAGTGGAAATCTTTATGAAGTCTGTCCTAAATGCTACTGAGGCTGTCTAAGAACTTTATGATAAATATCAAAAAATCTTTTAACTAACAAAGTTAAATGCAGTAATCTGTTATCTTATTAGAAAGTTGGTTATCTGAAAAGGACAGCATTAAACAATGGTCAATGGTTTTCCCAATCATTCTCGCTTTCAGACATTTACAACATATTGATGACACAAGCCATAAACTGTGGTTGATTATAAGTTAAATAATCACTTGTATGCAGTTAACATAACAAGTTTAATCTATTTTCTAATTATTCGACAAAGCTTAGTGTTGAATAAAAATTGTGCTCAAATAACATTTATAGTAATAGTCTATAAATTTACACTTGATTTCTTCCCATTTGTTATTGTCAAACTTTATATGTTCAATAAAATTTCCATGAGGTGTCCACACCATAAAATATGAATGATGGTGCCTTGTCACAGCCATTTGTACAAAGCATTGCATATAATAGGCATGATTTTTGTTTAAAGAAATAACAACATCATTTTTAATCAAATATGGAAGTTTTACACTCGGATCAAGTTGAGACAAGTAATTTATAAAAAATGGGCATTTAACTTCAAGACATGCTGGTGGACAACACAAACAAGTAATAACACAATCAGGATTACCGCTAATGAAAGGAATATCTTTATCTAAAAATGACTCACAATCATGCATTGCTACACTTTTATGATTGATTTTAAAAACTTTATAAAAACAGTTAACAGCATTCTGTTCTATTTCCCTGCCATACTTATTTGCAGGTGTGTTTGAATTAACAAATGACATGCCATTGTGGATATTAATGAAAAAAACACATGCCGATATGTGGGAATTAAATCAATGTATATCTGTACGTTGATTTAATTCCCACATATCGGCGTCAAGTTTATTTAATTTGTTCATTTTTGTCCAAACATCATAACTTTTTGAAGCTGTTATAACACCTTTTCTATATTCATACCAGTATTTGTTTTTATTTTATCCTTTGGTCAACTGCTCAATTTCTTCAATATTTTTAAGTGTCATATGAAGGGTTATATTTTTTTCAAATGACAATATATCTTTTGACATTACCAGTATATCATTAACACTCATTAGGCTTGATTGGTAAGTACTAATGTCGTTTACTACTTCCAAACTAAAGTCAATATCTGGTTTAGGGATTAAAAATGATGGAATTAGGGGCTATTTCTTTTACCGCTTTTGCAACATCTTGAAAATTAATTTTACTAGAATAATTAGAAATTGGATTAAATTTCTTATACAAACTGTCTACAAATGGTCTTTTTTTTTTTACAATGTTGAGAAAAAATTTTTCTGCTAAAATCTAGATTTTTAATTTTAACAGGTAAATCATCTTTTCAATTTGAAAGCCATTGATTTGAAACCATTGTGCAAGTCGGATTTGTTAAGCCCATTCTTACAGCAGCTTCAATTCTAAACATTGCTGCAGCAACATGGTTACATGTTTGGCTCATTCCTGCCATGCATGTACAGTGACAAAATCGGATTTTTGCATTTTCTTTTTCTATAATCAACCATATGGCTTGTGCCATTTATGCTTGTGCCATTAATACGTTGTGAATGTCTGCATTCACCTTTTATTGCACAAAATCGACTGTCCTCACTTTTACAGTGATATGCGAGTTTTTGAAGCCAGCCTGTTTTATAAAAACTAAAAGCTTTCGAATTTTTATAATCATTTAAGTCATTGTTGCCAAATTCAGATGAGTTAAACATCAAGTAATTAAAAATATCTGATAATATCTGAAAAATAAGATAAACGGATCGCTGCATTTAACATTGTCAATTAAAGGTTTTTTTTGATATTCATCTTTCAGTTCTTCAACTGCCTCGGTAGCAATTAGTACAGGCTCAATAAAGTTTTCCATTGCAGAAAATACACGAGCAACCAATTCCCACTTTGTTCCAGAAACACGCAAATTTCGAAGTCTTAAATACTGCTTTAACTCTTAAGCTTTCATTTTATTAATTAAATCTAAATCCATTATGAGTTTATCTTAGGATAAATAATTCAAAGGAAAGCACAATGTTTGCTTAAAAAATCCTTCGTACGTAAAAGTTTATTTTTACTTTTACCCACACAATTTGGATCCAGACCTCCATATTTCTACGCGTTTTTTCCGATCGGATAGGTGTATTCGTAGATAAACTTGAAAATACGCCATAATTAAGGAAAGTAGCACATGCGAATTGCGCCGTTTTCGGCTAATAAAAAACGTTTTCTAAACGATTTTTTAAGGTCCCGTAAAATACGAAATTAAATAATAGAAAAAACCTATTAAAACATTTTTAAACATTTTTTAAACGTTTTAATTTTACAAACGTCCTTCAAGCGACCATTAAATGTTTATAAAAGCTTTGCAAAACGTACTTGTGCCCACTGGGTTAAGTGTATATTTTTGTAATATATTTGTTTTTTAAAAGTTCCCGTAAAATGTTTTGGGTTAAGATAGCGGCCGTTTTAAAAACTGGCTTCAAATAAGTCACGTCACACCGTCTCCTGTTTTATTATACCTCTTTGGTTTGGAGTTGTTTTTTTACTCAGTAGTTTGGAGTTTGCTCGGTAACTTCATCTACAAATTATGCGTATTTTTTTAATTCGTATATTTTTTCAAATTAATTTTTTTCTTCTTGCATGTTTACTAATTTAATTTTTATTTTTTCAAACTTTTTGTAAAAAGTTTTTATCAAAATGTTTTTATGTATTTCAAAGACAACTTTAATTTGCAATACAGTATATTTAGCCGTCTTAAATTTTTCCGCTTAAGACACGTCCGCTCAACTTCACTTTACGTCTCTAAATGTGTTATTCACGTAACAGAATTGAGTTCATAATTTAGTCAGTCAATACTTGTCTATTATTGTCTTTAGAGGACAAGGATCTTTAAAAATATTTTTATAAAATCCTGGTTATCAAAAATCGAGTTCAACATAATTTCAAAGATTCAAAGTACAACATAATTACAAAGGTTCAAGCTGCTAAAGTGACATTATTTTACATATTTCAAGATCAAGATGTGACCAAAATAAAAAATTAAACAACTTTCTAATCAAAATGAATTTATTTTTTATAAAATTTTTGTAGTTTTTTTTTCATTAGAAAATTCAGAAAGAGTAAGCTTATGACTATTTTTACTACCATCATTCTTGCTGGTAGTAAAAATAGTCGTTACAGCAAGGGTATTACAGCAGGAGCTGTAATCTCCTTGTTTCATACTTCCCAGCTTTTTAACAGGTTTATTTAGAACCTATTTTTCTTTCTGATATTGGTTTATTAATAACATTCTTTTCTTTAAATCCAATATTGGATACGAATTGATTTAGTTTTTGTAAAAAAATGCTACTAAAAAGCTTAAATTTAGTATATGTGGCACATCCGGCCAGATGAATAAATATTTATATATAGATGTATATATATATATATATATATATATATATATATATATATATATATATATATATATATATATATATATATATATATATATATATATATTTATATATATATATATATATATATATATATATATATATATATATATATATATATATTATCATATACGCTATTATTATATACGCTATTATATATATATTATAGCGTAAGGTATATATATTATATTATTATATACGCTATTACTATATACGCTATTATATATATATATTATAGCGTAAGGTATATACATATATATATCTTACGCTATAGTATATTAGGTACCAACTCGTATATTATATAATATTCGAGTTGGTATTCGTTGTTTTATATATTTTACTCGTTGGTATATAACTCTATTATACTTATATTATATATTAAACTCAATTAAATGCTCTTACACCAAACGTGGCAGCAAAATGATTTTGTCCTAATACGTCTCTTTCCTTACCACTTAACTACAAAACATAACTTAATTTAAAAAAGAAAACGAAATTTTTATAAAAGGTTTAAATTCACACTTATTTTAAGGTATATAAAGAAAGGATCACTAGAAAAAAATACAAATAAATAATCTGAAGGTGGCAATTAATAAACTTTATTACTAAAATAGCACCAACACACACACACATATAGAAATATTAGTTATAAGAAACTACGTTAAAAAAACTGTAAACATAAACCGTGTAGCTGTCGTGTAAAAAGATGCGTTTTTAAAAATTGAAATACTTTATTATATACTTTGTTTTAAAATTTATATGAAGAACAAAATAATTGTAAAAATTATAAATTTATTTTTATACATTTTGGGGTATAACATTCATAAAAAATGTTACAAAATAAGCTATATAAATTAAAAGCTATTTTATCGATATTTTGATGTCGATATCTTTCACGCATTATGACATTTTACGTCATTGCACCATTATGTTTTGTGCCGTTATTTTTATATAGTGGTGTCTGTATTTTTAGGAAGATATAAAATATGTATTTAGTATTTAAAAAGTTATGATTTATATCAAAACCAATTTATTTATCTCTTCCAAAACGGTTTTGCTTTAATTAGTTGATTCTTATGCTAAAAGCATATTCTTTGTTGAACGTAATATCTTGCTAAACGTAACCTAATCATCTGATATGTAAGCTAGGTTATTGTATTTTTCTGATAAATGGCCATTAGAAGTTTCTATATTGCAGCTATTTTCTACGTTTCCACTTTCGATATCACCATAAAACAAAGTATTAGTTATTGGAGCATGCTATAAGATAAATTGTCAATAAGTAGAAAACAAAAAACACAAAAATTAAAATAGAAATCATAACATTTTTCTTAGTCAACTGTTGCTTACTAAGAAAAATGTTATGTTAATGTTACCAAGTGTTATGTTAATATTATGTTAATTTTAATGTTTTGTTAATGTTACCATTTACTTTACTTATATATAAATATATATATATATATATATATATATATATATATATATATATATATATATATATATATATATATACATATATATATATATATATATATATATATATATATATATATATATATATATATATATATATATATATATATATATATATATATATATATAAAATAGAAATATAGGCATGCAAACTATCAAAAACCATTGTTCGTAGTAAACAAAATGTTATGGTAATGTTACCAAGTTTCCGCATTCTGATACAATTTAATTCTATCTACAAGTATTGCCAGGAGTAGATCCAGACAATCTAGTAAGGGAGGATGAGAAGCAATTTTAGTTTTTTTTTATTTGATGGATCCTGACCATTTGGTAAGGGGGAAAATGTTTAGATTATAGAATTTATGGGCAGGCAAGCCCACAAATTTCTATAAAATTTTATATCATTTGAGTTAAATGTATCGAAATAAAAAAAAACTGTTTACAAAAAATCAAAGGGGAAGCAATAGGGGCGATCGTCCCTTCCCTCATGGATCTGCTCTTGAGTATTGCATTTTCTCTTTGCAGATATACCTTAATTTTACTTGAATTCGGTCAAAATAAATAAATTATATAACTGATGTCATTGATTGTAACAAAAAAAGATGGTAATACAACTGGTATTAACTTTATTATAACAAAAGGACGGTTATGTAATACAAGTCATTATTATATAATATAAAATAATAACAAAAAAAAAGATAACTTGTTTTTTTAGAGTAAAGAAACACTAAAAACGGAAAATTCCTAAACCTAAATATACTCCATAAATAGTTACTCAGCGTTTCCAAATTATATTTTCAAAAGGCATTACCTCTTTACCATTTTTAGTTACTTCATTATCTGTTTTCGTTTCTTTATGTATTTCTTTTTGTACATGTAACAATTCATAATTCGTTTCTTTATTCATTTCTTTATGCACATGTAACATCTCAAAGTTTGATTTATTATCTGGATAAAATGAACCAGCTGAAAAGTGCTCCGTAACATAAATTCGATCTTTAAACTCTCTTATTTTTCTCTGCATTAAAAAAAGGTAACAAATAATGAGAAATAAAACAATGTAATTTGCATAATAATATTATTAAACAAATAGAAACTTGCCTGATAATAATATTTATTCAGAACATTACAATAATAACTTAAATTATGGTATTCAGAAACACTTGGTGGATTGGTTTAATAGCTAAAGTTTATTACATTTGTGTGTGTAAATACAGTCATTAAACATTCTATACCATAAATTCAATGGACCTATATAGACATTTCAGTTCACGGTAGTTTTGCTTTTATATATATATATATATATATATATATATATATATATATATATATATATATATATATATATATATATATATATAGTATATATATATATATATATATATATATATATATATATATATATATATATATATATATATATATATATATATATATATATATATATATATATGTATATATATATATATATATATATATATATATATATATATATATATATATATATATATATATATATATATATATATATATATATATACAAGGCCGGCGCGATAGGGAGGTGTGACAACCCTCCCCATCAATGATTTTTAGTCGGCAAATTGGACCCATAGTCAACAATTCGGACCCTTTTAGACTAGTTAGTCGGCAAATGTCGACCCTTTCGATATAGGTTAGTCGGTAATCTAGACAGTCGGTAAATGTCGTCGTTTTTTTTTTTTTAAATCGTTTTTTTTTTTTTTTAAGTCGGCAAAATGTAATGGCAACGTGACACCTACTCGCGCCGGCCCTATATATATATATATATATATATATATATATATATATATATATATATATATATATATATATATATATATATATATATATATATATATATATATATATATATATATATATATATATATATATATATATATATATATATATATATATATATATATATATATATATATAATATGTATATATATATAACTGTATCCAGTTATATATATATATATATATATATATATATATAATATGTATATATATATAACTGTATCCAGTTATATATATATATATATATATATATATATGTATATATATATATATATATAATATGTATATATATATATATAACTGTATCCAGTTATATATATATATATATATATATATATATGTATATATATATATATATATATATATATATATATATATATATATATATATATATATATATATATATATATATATATATATATATATATATATATATATATATATATATATATATATATATATATAACTGGATAGCGTATACGGCAAGTTTTTTAAAGCCAGTTTTAGCCTCCCAAGATGGCGGCGTATTTGGTTGATTACGAATTTAGAAATATTTGTTACAAACTTTTATATTTTTTTGTACAAAAATAAGTTTACAGGCCTCAAACAAAAATGCAATTTTCGGTTTTCTTAGAAAGAAACACAATAATACATAATATTTTGTTTAACAATACTCTTAATAATCTACTCAAACAATATTACTAATAAATATTATACTCTTATAATATCACAATATATATTACTAATACATATATCACAATATATATTACTAATAAATATTATACTCAAACAGTATATATTGCAATAAATATTATACTCTAAATTATTGAGTAAATTATTAATTTACTCAAACAATAAGTTATTAATTTACTCTAAATTATTGAGTAAATTATTAATTTACTCAAACAATAAATTATTAATTTACTCAAACAATAATATCTTTCTTTTTTTTTTATTTTAATTATATAAAATAAATTTTTTAGTTAAATTAATTAAAAATTAGTTTATTTAACATTAATAAATAATTATACCTATAACCTAATAGTTAACTACTAGGTTCCACTAATAGTTCATAACTAACTATAACCTATCAGTAGAAATAAAAAACAAATATGAGCCTAGTAGTTATCTAATTTTACAATTTCCAAACAACTTTCTAATAATTATTTTAAATGTGATAAAGTGAAATAATTTAAATCACTTTTTATTTATATTTCATTTATTTACTTTCTTTTAATTTTAGTTTTACAATAAATTAATTGTTATTGTTTTTTGTACAAATTTATGTTCTTTTTAGTTCTTAACTACCCAATGCTGTGTGCTAGAAGGTTAATAACACAACTGCATGGTAGACTGCTGAATATTTTTTTAAAATGTAATGCATATATATTTTTTTGATGCCATTTTAGCTACATATCTGGCAATATATGAGATCAAAGCTTTTTTGTATTTAGATAGAATGCTTCCATTTGAAATACCTGCATATTCGTGGTCTTTATTAGTTGGTTTTCTCTTTAACAAATCATATTCTTTTGTTATTTTAATTTTAGTCAGATATTTTAGTACTGGAGTGAGCAGAAGAATTGTCTAAAATTTTTGAAATATGAGTTTTATCTCTGGTGCTGCAGTTTCTATTTGAAAATTGAACCCTAATTCACATCAAGAATTGTTTAATGTGGCTGTAAACTGTTGGCAATTGATATTGTTGTTAAACATTCTTGCAGACCTCACATCTAAAAAAGATCTCACAGCACAGTAAAGAACTTGTTAGATGGTTTTGACTGAGCTTATATGTTAAATAATTTAATGGCGAACCTTCTTTTTCTTCTCAGTCAAGATATATATTTAATTGCCAATGAAGTATCCAATGAAACCAGTTTTTAGACTAGACAAATTCATTTGCATAACAGTTAATTTCTTTAAGACTAATATACCATATTAAGAAATGGAAAACAAAGAGCATTTCTGCAAATAGGTTTTGTGAATATAATATGCGATGTAATCTATCTTTTATGCGAATAAACTCAACGACATATTTATATAATTATTTAGCTGCAACATACAGTTTAATAATATAAAAAAGTCAGCCTTTATAAAAAATAAAACATTTAACCATAATACTTAACAGCAGGTAAACAGTATATATAACTTTAGTTAATGAGATATTTTAAAGAGGTGTTTTGAGTATTTCTATATTAAAAATTTATAATATTTGTTTTTTCAAACAAATGTTTGTTTGAGGATGTATGTAAAATTTGTTACATACATCATTAATTCTATTGAGTGATTATCCTTTAAATTATAAGAAATGATTCTTTACTTTTTATCTTTTTTAAAAGTTGATATGAATAATTATAATTCAGACCTGTTTTTTTTTTACCAGCAAAAGTGACACTTCAGAATGTTTTATTGAAATAATTTATGCAATAATAGAATTATAATATAATTCTAGAAGAAACCCCTGAGTTTGTATACCCCTGTATACTGACTCAGTTAATAGTTCATGTAGCGTTTGTACAAAATGGTATCTTGCTACAAAAAATAGAGAATATAAAATTGTAGGTAGAGATGATTGCTACTTACCATGCTGTTATATTATTAACCTTTAGCATACAGCATTGGGTAACTAAGAATTAAAAGGTACATAAATTATACACAAAATTTAACTAAAATTGTAAATGCTATTTAATAATAAATTGAATTATTCAAAAAAATAATTTCTTTTTTTTTCTCTAATATTTGTAAAGTTCATTTGTTTTCTTTTATTTTTGACAAATTCATTAACCTTGTTTAATTATTTTCTATCGTAGTTTAATAAAGCCATTTAAAATCTATATTGGTTTCACCGCTAGAGACTTGAATCGCCGCCATCTTGGGAGGCCAATTTTGGCTTCAACTTTTTTCGGAAAAAACAATAGAATCCGCTATTTAGTTATATTTTGAGATCAGTAAGTGGGCTAGATGATCTGTGAGGTTTTGACGAGTTTCCAATTTGGGGCCTATTTAAAATTCAAACTTTACGTAGAAAACTTGTATAAATTTAAACAATTTAACTTGTAGTTTATTATTTGTTGCTATAGTTTTTCTTTTATTTAGTTTTTATTTTATATATAAGAGTTTTTATTTTATCATAGAATTGTATCAATAGCATTCACGTTTATTAAGTTTTATGAAACGAGGAAACCGACACAATAAAAAATTGATATTTTGATTTTTATTATTGTTTTACTTCTTTTGTGGCATTGTGAATGTCTTTAAATATTATAAAGTGATTCAATAATATTTTGCCCTTATAAAGGAAATAATTTTTATTTAAACTTATTGTTTATATAAAATACAATTTATATTTATATAAAATACAAACTATATATTTATAAATATATAATTTGTATTTTATAAGAACTGTAAGTTCATATAATTAAAAGTTTATGAAATGTAAGTTTTTACTGTACCTACTATAAGTTATAAATGTAAGTTATAGCAGTTATGAAGTAAGTTGTAACAGTTGCTATAACTGTTTAACTACAGTTATAAAGTAAGTTATAACATTAAATAAGGCAAATGTGTATGAACTGTAAATTTCAGTAAAAGTTCATATAAATATTCAACTCTATATATATATGTATACAATAATATATATATATATATATATATATATATATATATATATATATATATATATATATATATATATATATATATATATATATATATATATATATATATATATATATATATATATATATATATATATATATATATATATAATCAATATCTGAAGCTGGAGAGTATAAAAAATCCTAAGAAGACAAGTGATCAACTAAGAAGGTTTTATTGAAAGCCTAATAAAAGCAACTACTTTAAGACGTCATTAAAGAGAAGCATGGATTAGATAAAGAAAGGTAAGATAAAATTAGGTATTGCATACTTTTTTTGTTATATTTATACTTCATATCGCATTATACTTTGAAATTTACACTATTAAGTTAGAGACACTTGAAAATTGTTAACTTGTTTATTTAATGATTCATTGCAAGTTTTAATTACGGAGTCACGTTTTAAGTGCAAGATCAGTGGTCACAATTTGTTTATTTTTCACAGTTTTATTGAACAACTGGCATGATGAAACTTTAAATTTACTTTGAGTTTCTACATACATAATTATTATTAGAAATGTTGAATTCATAGACAGGGCTGCCA